TGTCCTTCTGTGACGGACTAAATTCACTCAGCATAATAAATTCCAGCTTCTTCCATGTTATACGATGTTTCACAGCTCCATCGGTTGTTCTTTATCATTGTGTAGTATTCCATCCTGTGGCTATAACACAATTTATCCATTCGTCCGTTGATGGGCAACTAGGTTGTTTCCATCTTTTTGCTATTGTGAACAGTGCTTCAGTGAACTTGGGTGTGCATATATCTATTCGTGTGACAGCTCTTATCTCTCTAGGATATATTCCAAGGAGTGGGATAGCTGGATCATACGGTACTTCTATTTCTAGCTTTTTAAGGAAGCACCAAATCGATTTCCAAATTGGTTGTACCATTTTACATTCCCACCAACAGTGTTTAAGTGTTCCAGTCTCTCCACAAACACTCCAGCATTTATTATTTTGTGTTTTTTGGATTAAGGCTGGCCTTGTTGGGGTGAGATAATATCTCATTGTAGTTTTGATCTGCATTTCTCTGATGGCTAATGATCATGAGCATTTCTTCATGTGTCTGTTAACCGCACGAATATCTTCTTTGGTGAAGTGCCTGTTCATATCCTTTGCCCATTTTTTTAATTGCCACCCTAATCCTCTTTAACATAAAATTATAATCACAAAATGGAGGACAACCACACAGTACTGGGAATCATGGCCTAGCCAAATTGATACACACATTTTTCAGGGACATAATTCAATCCATGACAACTATGGAAAGGCATTTGACTGTGGATCATAACAAATTATGGATAACATTGTAAAGAATGGGAATTCCAGAACACTTAATTGTGCTCATGAGGAACCTGTACATAGATCAAGAGGCAGTCGTTCAAACAGAACAAGGGAATATTTCATGGTTTGGTTGGGGAAGCTGTGGGCAAGGGTTGTATCTTTTCACCAGACTTATTCAGTCTATATACTGAACAGATAATCCAACAAGCTGGACAATATGCAGAAGAATGGGGCATCAGGATTGGAGGAAGACTCATTAACAACCTGCTTTATGCAGATGATACAACCTTGCTTGCTGAAAGTGAAGAGGACTTGAAGCACTTACCGATGAAAATCAAAGACCACAGCCTTCAGTATGGATTACACCTCCACATAAAGAAAACAAAAATCCTCACAACTGGACCAATAAGCAACATCATGATAAATGGAGAAAAGATTGAAGTTCTGAAGGATTTCATTTTCCTTGGATCCACAATCAACACCCATGGAAGCAGCAGTCAAGAAATCAAAAGACGCCGCCAGACTGAGTCCAATACAACTAGATGGTGCCCAGCTACCCCAGCTACCACCACTGACTGCTCTGACAGGGATCACCATAGAGGGTCCCAGACAGAGCTGGAAAAAATGTGGAACAAAATTCTAACACAAAAAAAATAGACCAGACTTACTGGTCTGACAGAGACTGGAGAAACCTTGAGAGTATGGCCCCCGGACACCCTTTTAGCTCGGTAATGAAGTCACTCCTGAGGTTCACCCCTCAGCCAAAGATTAGACAGGCCCATAAAACAAAATGAGACTCAAGGGGCACACCAGCCCAGGGACAAAGACTAGAAGGCAGGAGGAGACAGGAAAGCTGGTAATAGGGAACCCAAGTTCGAGAAGAGGAGAGTGTTGACATGTCATGGGGTTGGTAACCAATGTCACAGAATAATATGTGTACCAATTGTTTAATGAGAAGCTAGTTCTGTAAACGTTTATCTAAAGTACAACTAAAAGAAAAACAAATCAAGACGCATTGCACTGGGCAAATCTGCTGCAAAGACCTCTTTAAAGTGCTGAAAAGCAAAGATGTCACCTTGACAACTAAGCTGTGCCTGACCCAAGCCAGGGGGTTTTCAATCGCCTCATATGCATGAGAAAGCTGGACTGACGCCTTTGAATCGTGGTGTTGGCAAAGAATATCGAATATACCATGGACTGCCAGAAGAACAAACAAATCTGT